ATAAAACTAAATCACATATTTTTAGAACCACAAAATCAAATCTAATTGTAATTACCATTTTCAAGGTAAACAAACATCTAAATGAAAATCCGGGAATACACCCAAGTTAAAAATCACCATTTGGACTTAACGGAACCATAAAAACTCCGATCTAAGGTCAAATACACAAAAGTCAAACTTGGTCAACTCTTCCAACTTATAGCTTCCTAGTTGAGAATCATTCTTTCAAATCAATCCTAAACCACTCGAAAACCAAAACCGATGGTACACACAAGTCATAATACACCACATGAAGCTACTCATGACCTCAAACCACCAAGCTGAATGCAAATGCTTAAAATGGCCGATCGGGTCATTACATTCTACCCCACTTAAACATATATTTATCCTCGAACGTGCCTCGAATAATGTGCCACATAACTCATGTACTCAAAATAATAATTTCTAACCGCAATAGCTGCTTATTACCAAACCCAGTACCGATAATATACTTCATATCAAGTGAAACCTCATTCTTAACCTTCGCAACGCTATTAATGATAAAAGAACATGCAAAAACTCATAACTACCCAAAAATCAACAAGTCAAGAAGCTCTCTCGTCCGACAAGGACCATTGCCAAATTCTAAGCGGAAATATAGTATTATTCTTCCAAACATTCTTTTTCCCAATACAATAGTGCAAATCTCAGGTCTAGAAACCTCGTCTCACCCAATACAAGTAGCCCAACCGACAAGTCACCACAAAGGCCACATGAAACCTCACACAACGCGGTTTGTACACCTAAAATGATAATAACTTGGATATATCCTAAAATGTAAAGAAGCAAAGCAAGAGGAGTATCCAACAAGTACAACTGATATAACAACAAAAGCAAAATTTCATGAATTCATCCCACAAAAGGGAAAATAAAACACATGAAATAAACATAAGGATGGATATCCCACATAACTCTGTTGTAGCATGATGTGCTCAACTTACACCTATATAAATGTTGTAAGGCAGTCGATTTCAAATATATTAACCCAACTAGGTTGGGGCCGAATCCCAAGGAAATAGGTGTGAAAATATTACTTGAATAGTATGTCACTTGATTAAAGCTGTAGTTCTACTCTATTAGCTTGGGAAGAGTTTGATAGTTGTGAATTGTTCAGAGAAGCCATTTTGTTGAGAGAATTGATTAATTGGATTAAGAAACCAAGGTTGTGTCCCCTTCTATGGAATGTTATGCTATTTGTGTTAATATGATATATTTTTAATGGGAGGTCCTTTGATATGCAAATGGTTCCTAAATGACTACCCAATATTTTCCAATAGTTAGGTAGTATTTCCTCTTTGTGATTTTCCCAAAATACAAAAGAGTTATAATTAAGAGCAACCAATTTATGCCAAGTAGAACCCGCTTATTCCTAAGCAGTTTTATTACAAAAGGTTTAACGACTTGAGTTCTTATTATTCAATTCTATCAAACCCTAACCCACTTTTCCAAATGAAAGATAAAGTAAATTGGAACTAGTTAATGGTTGCAACCATCGACCATAAATGAAGCATAAGAAATGAATAAAAATAACCCACCCATTATATATATATACACATATACATATATATATACACATATATACATATATATATATATATATACATATATATATATATATATATGTATATANTTTAAAGTTAGCTACTCAAATTAATATACAAGAGCAAAGCATTAAAGAAAATCATAAAAGCTTACAATAAAGACAAAGTCTTGGAATCTCTCCAAAAAGCTCCAAAACAAGTGGTGTATTCAATACTCTCAATGTAGGACCTTTTTCAAACAAGCTATTCCAAAATAACCCTAGTTATTCTATTTATAATAGCCCAAAAGTCACAGATAAAATGTGACAAACATAGCCCTTCAGGTTAGTTCGTGGTCTCAGAATGGATTGCGGATGTGATCCATGGTCCGCACAACAGTAGCAATGCCACAAATTCGATCTTCAGTCTTTTTTCCATCACATATCAGTTATGTCGTCCGCATAATGATTCCACCGCCGCATAATATATTTCAGATTCGTCTTCACTGGAATTCCTCTTGCATTCGTGCGACAATTCAACGGTCCGCAAATAAGTTATGCGACCGCATATTGAACCACATATTTGACTATTGAAACTGAGTTGGATCTTCAAGTCCGATTTCCTGCAAAACACCAAAACTACATACGAAATGACTCACAATGCTTAAAAATATGAGCTAATGTCTATGAAATTAGTATCAAAAGTGTCGCATTTCTACATCACATCAACACCCCCAACTTAGACTCTTGCTTGTCCTCAAGCAACTAAAATGTTGCCCTACTAGGAAACTAATCTAATTCTGATTGATCACAAAATATCAATTACTATGGATGGATCTAACTATTAGCTAACAAGCATGTAATTTCATTTATTTACCCTTCAGCAAAGACAAGAATCATTTGAATGTTCAGATAATCAATTTGTGAGCTCCGAGCCTCAAAAGCAATAATAGAGTGCTACTAGTAGCTAGATATGCACTTGCATCCTACTTCAAGAAGCCTAAGTTCTGCTAACTCTTGCAATTCACGCATTCTCACAACAAAGAAAATCCCCAACTCAACAGATTTAAATATGTAAAGGGATACAATCAAACACTCTCGCACTACCCTAGAGCCTCCGTTGTTGCTCTCCATTTCTTCCTTCGGATCTGAGTTGGGGATAAGGACTATGGCATTAACTTATATCAAATCATTGAGAAATGTTAACTTTCCCAAGGAGGTTATTCAAATAGAAGGCTGCAAAACATTTGTTGTTGGGGGTGGTAAGAAGAAGGGTGGAAAAGGTGGCGGAGCTTCAGATGCTCCAAAAGCATCATCGATTAGCAAAGAAGTCAAGGCCAGTACAGAAGCCGGGGCAAATATTCTCAAGGATGGAGCAGATCCAAAAGTGTTGGCTGACTCAAAATACCCAGATTGGTTGTGGCACATACTGGATAAACGCCCGACACTTAGTGAACTAAGGAGGAAGGATCTCGAGTCTCTCACTTACGATGACCTCACATGTTTTGTCAAGCTGTATACCCGAGCTAGGATCAAGGAAAACAACTCTATTGGGGCCAAGAACTGAAATTTCTGCAGGAAGTGGTGTATTTCTCTCTCCGCTCTCCTGCGATCAATAGTTTACGCCGGCGACTACCCTTCATGGCCTCCACGGCCGGCGGCCAGCCTCTTCCTAAGGTTGGTCCATTGTCTTCCTCCCCCCATCAGCCGTTACCAATCTCTACAAACCCTACCCTAATCTACCTAAAACCTATGCAAATTTATTAAACCCTACTGTCATAAATACGCCCATGCAAACCCTAACTACGCTACCATTGAAACCAGTTGAGTTCCTTCATAGAGACTAGTTGTGAAGTGGAAGAAACAAGAAGTGAAGCAATCCATCGTACAACAAGGGCTTCAACTTTCAGTTCTTGGAAAATTTTCATATGGGAAGCCTGTTATTGGTGAATTGCGTAAAGTGATTCCAATTCAATGTGAGATTAAGGGTCATTGTTCAGTTGTCTTGATTGAAGACAATCATGTGTTAATTAGACTATGTTTATTGGAGGATTATGTTCATCTTCTCTCAAAGCCAGCTTTTTATTTAAAGGCTCAATCAGACATGTGGCAGATGCGTTGTACAAAATGGAATCCATGGTGGAAACCTGATAAAGAGACTCCAATTGCCATAGCGTGGATTAGCTTCCAGAACTTCCTCCATATTTCTTTGGTAAGGAATGTGTATTTTCATTAGCTCGTGCAGTTGGTAATCCATTACATATAGACCTAGCAACTCAAAATGGGACTAGACCGAGTTGTTCTAAGGTAAAGGTGGAAGTGAATTTTCTAGGTAATTTCCCAAAACGTATTAAGATTGTTGAAGAAGCTGATGAATCTCGGCCAGAAGAATTTAAATGGATTAGGATTAAGTATGATTATATGCCTAAATATTGCAGGCCTTGCAAGAAACAAGGGCATAGTGAGGCAGAATGCTTGGTAATTCATCCTAAATTACACAAGAGATTTGATGAAGATGTTAGGGATCAAGGCAAGGAGAAGACAGTTGTGGTGAGCATTGAAGCAATTGGTACAGCTTCAAATTCAACAAAGGTTCTATCAAGTGGAAAGGTGGTTGGTAAGCCTGCTACTAATTATGCCTAAGCAGGAATGGATACAGGCAAGTAAGAACAAATACCCAAGGGATAATTAGGGTCACATTGCTGATAACAAACAAGGCAAGGAAGCTTACAAGGGTAAAGGGAAGGCCAAACTTGAGGAAGTAGCAACCAACAACACATTTAATGCACTAGAGGTTGAGGAAGTTCATCAACCTACTCTACAAATTACTAAAGGCAAAGGTGAAGATCATAGCAATTGTAAGAAGAAAGAACATGGGGAAAAGCAATCTAACAAGGGCCATGAGAAGGAAAAAGAAGGAAATACCGGAGTGACAAGCCCTAATCCAAAGGTTTCTGGGGTTAGGGTTGGGAAGGATGCTAATACTAAACAAGCGTGAGAAGGTAATCAATAAGAACTTAAGCATGTAAAGAAGGAAGCAGTTGAGAAAGTGTTGGAAGATTAGCATAATAGGAACTTAGCTAAGGCTAATCCTATAGTTCCTAGTGATCAAAGTACTGATGAAAAGGCTAATAAGGAATCCACAATCGACTGGGTTCATAGAAGGTTTGGAACTAGAAAAGAGGAGCTAAGGCAACTCAATGTGACTACAAACCAATCATGTCAAGATATTCCGTCTCAAATATTTACATATTCTCGGCAGCTTGAGATCCTTGATGAGATAAACTCAACAAAAGTTGTAGGTAGTTATGCAATTTAGGTGGAGGATGATTAACTAGGCACGACAAAGATAACAGGAGACAAAGTGAGGGACATCAGCCCACCTGGCGATAGGCTGGTGACGCCAGGCCTAAAGCCAGGCTCCCCAGGCGTTAGGCTGGCGATGCCAGGCCTAAATCCAGGTACTCCAAGCGTTAGGCTGGCGACGCCAGGCCTGGCGCCAGGGTCACCTGATGAAGCATCGAAAATAAACCTTATCCCTAGTGCAACTGGAAAGATTTTGGCCTATGTAGATGATGTTTCGGTGTATGCATTGGAGAACAAACTTGATGATAATGTGAAGGTTAGGGATGATACAGTATGATCAGAGAATAGCAAGGAAAAGAATGATGAGCACGCAATCGTTCCAAGAGTATCTGGGGAAATAGAGGAAGTGCCTATGGAATATGGCAGCGATCAAATTATGCAGCTGCATCCCACTGAAGACTCCTCTACAATATTTACATGATTTAGTTACACATAATGTGGCACCAATTGATGAAGACTTAATGAGACAAAATCCTATGGAGGATGAAGGAGATGATGAATCAACAGCAGAAAACTTCAAATAGGTGGCTAGGGATGGGGATCTATCACCTACAGCTAGTGCTAAAGGATGTAGGAAAACAAAGAAGAATCAGAATAAAGAGCCACAACAACCTTCAAGAATTATGCCCAGGAGGGCAGCTTCTCTATCTAAATGATGATCAAAACACTAATATGGAACATAAGGTCTGTGAATACACAACAGGCCTTTCCTAGGGTGATCAATATGAATAGGGAGCATAACTTTTGTGTAGTTGCATTGATGGAACCTTTTCAAAAGAAGAGATTAATTAATAAATATAGAAGAAGGTTGAATAAGGAGACGGCTTATGCAAATATTAATGGGCAAATATGGTTGTTCTTTGATGTAGTGGTGGAATAGGAATTAGTGGAGGATACAGAGCAACAGGTGACTGTGAGAATGCTTTACCATGACCTGGGGCAGCACATGATATGACATTTGTTTATGCAAAATGTTCAGCAATTGAGAGGTTGGAATTAAGGGATCACTTGTATTACTTAGCAAGTGATATGAAATTGCCATGGTTTGTAGGAGGGGATTTCAATGTGATATTACATGAAGATGAGAAAATAGGAGGACTACCAGTACACCCACTTGAATATGAGGATTTTGCATTTTGTGTATACTCTTGTGGTTTGTTTGAGCAAGGATACAAAGGAAGTCCATTTACATGGTGGAATGGGATATCCAATGTTGCGTGTGTATCCAAAATATTGGATAGGATCTTTGTGAATTTTCCATTTTAGAACATGTTTCCAACTATTGAAGTTAAACATCTAATCAAAACTGGATCAGATCATGCACCATTGTTAATGACATATAGGGAGCAGACCACCAATTTTGTCAAGCCTTTCAGGTTCTTGAACTTTTGGACTAAACATGCTACATTTATGGATGTGGTGAGGCAGAATTGGGAAGTTGATTTCATAAGGGATCCGATTTTTATGTTCAAGCAGAAGCTCAAGAGGGTAAAGGCAGCACTGTCAAAATGGAGCAGGGAAACATTTGGTGATATCTTCAAGCAGTTGGCTATTTTGGAAGACATTGTTAGGGTAAAAGAGATGTTGTTTGAAGAAAATCCTACTATTGAGAGAAGGATTGTGCTTCAAAAGGCTCAATCTGAATTGAAGAAATACTTGAGTATAGAGGAGCAGTATTGGAAGCAAAAAAGCTGGGATGACTTGGTTTGCTGAAGGAGATAGGAATACAAGTTTCTTTCTCAATCATGTCAATGGCAAAAGAAAGAAATTGCAATTGAAGAGGATCAAAAGTGGAAGTAGGGTATGGATTGAAGAATATGAGAAATTGGCTACAACTGCAGTGGACTTCTATCAAAAACAGTTCACAAATGAAGGTGATACATCTGACTTTTCCTTTCTCAATAATGTACCTTTGGTGGTCACTATGGAATAAAATTTGGAACTTAGCAAATTTCCAACAATTGAAGAGGTAAGGACAACAGTTTTTGAGCTTAGTGGGTAGAGTGCTAGTGGTCCAGATGGACTCACTAGCCTATTTTATCAAACATGTTAGGATGTTATTGGTGCTGATATACACAACATGGTGCTACACTTCTATGGAGGAGCTGCACTACCTAAATCCATCACTCACACCAATATAGTGTTGCTGCCTAAGAAACCTAGAGTTGAGACCTTTTCTGACTTAAGACCTATTAGCTTGAGCAACTTCATTAACAAGGTCTTGTCTAGGGTGTTACATGATAGATTGGAAAAAATTTTGCCTTCTCTAATATCTCCTAATCAATCCGAATTTGTGAAGGGTAGGAGCATACTTGAGAACATCTTATTGACTCAAGAAATTATCATTGACATAAGTTTAAGGTAAAGCCAGCTAAGGTGGTGATCAAGCTTGATATGGCTAAGGCCTATGATAGGGTTTCATGGAAGTACTTATTGCATGTACTAAGGAAGATGGGATTTTCTGAGCACTTCATCAATATGGTATGGAACTTGGTGTCAAATAACTGGTACTCAGTATTGGTGAATGGGCAGTCCTTAGGGTTCTTTAATTCTACAAGGGGTGTCAAGTAAGGGGATCCTCTATCACCAGCATTGTTCATTCTGTCAGTTGAGGTACTTTCCAGGTCTTTGAATAAGTTATTTGAAGATAGGTCATTTGTGGGATTTGGAATGCCTAAGTGGTTTGATCCTTTGAACCACTTGGCATATGCTGATGATACTATAATATTTGCTTCTGCTCATCCTCCATCCTTGAGGAAGATTATGGCAGTGTTGGGAAACTATGATAAGATATCATGCCAGATTATCAATAAAGATAAGAGTTCATACTACATGTATTCAAAGGTTCCTAATGGATTGTGTCAGGCGGTTGGAACTATTACAGGATTTGCAAGAGGTAAATTCCCCTTCACATATCTAGGGTGTCCTATTTTCTACACTATAAGGATGAAGGAATATTATGAGGATCTTATCAAGAAAATAAAGGCTAAATTGCATTCATGGAAAGAAAAGTTGTTGTCATTTGGAGGAAAGGCAACATTCATTTCTAGTGTGTTGCAAAGTATGCCAGTCCATATGTTATCAGTCCTGCAGAGACCAAAAAATGTCCTAGAGCATCTTCATAAGATTTTTGCTAGGTTCTTTTGGAGCACAAAGGAAGAAGGGAGAAGCAGATATTGGGCCTCATGGAAAAATCTTTGCCTTCCTAAAGAGGAAGGGGGCCTATGTTTTAGGTCCTTACATGATGTATCGAGGGCATTGTTTGCTAAACTATGGTGGAGGTTTAGAACCACAAAATCTTTGTGGTCTAATTTCATGTGGAATAAGTATTGCAAGAAGGAGATACCAATGGTGGTGCAGTTTAGACAGGGGTCTCATGTTTGGAGACAAATGTTAAATGCTAGGGAAGAAGTAGAACATGAGATCCTATGGGAATTGAATAGTGGAAAAACTAATATTTGGCATGAAAATTGGACTAGATTGGGTGCACTTTATCACGTATTACCTGAAGACTTTCCGATCAATGAAGATCTTTAAGACGGGGCAAAACTAAGGCAAGGTGAAACATGGGATGATCAGCTGCTAGATCAAACCTTCAATGAGGAAATTGCAGAACATATAAGGCTAAATGTGCATTATGAAGGCAATTAGGGATACTAGGATAGGCTATACTGGATGCCAACCCCTTCAGGCAAGTTCAGTGTTAGCAGTGCTTGGCAAATATTAAGGCATAGGGATGATCCTAATCAGGAATTCAGGTTAATGTGGATTAAAAGTTTACCATTCAAGATATTCTTCTTCTTGTGGAGATTATAGAGGCGGAAAATAGCCACTGATGACATGATGGTGATGTCTAGGTATTGGTGTTGTCAGCAGCCCCAAGAAGAATCTGTTGAGCATATCTCTAAAGTATGGAACTTGTTCATGAGGGCTGCTAGAATTACTGTGCCATTGATTCAATTGAAGCAAGTTATAAGGCATTGGTGGTATGCTCAATGTTGTCCAAAGTTAAAGCCATTGTTTCAAGCAGTACTAGCTATCATCACTTGGGAACTTTGGAAGAGAAGAAATGTAGGTAAACATGGGGGTTCAATGTCCACAAATAGGGTGATTCATGAGATCAATAGGACATTGCATCAACTGGCAAGGGTGAGGTATGCTTGGATGCCTAATATTCCATTGTTATGGCCAGACATAATTCAATATTTTGAAGGATATAAAGCTATATTGATCACTATCGACGCCCCCCTTTTTCCCTCCTAAAAGAAGGCGAAATCGAGTTTACGACATTATGGACAAAACAACTCTTATTCCCCTTTCGAGGAATCGGGATATGGAATTTGAAGAGTCGTCACCTAATTATTATAGTGCATTAGGACACTAAAAAAAGAGGATTTTGAAAGATAAACCAGAGTTCGGGTAAGGGCTTGAGATTATCTCGAGGGGAAGGTGTTAGGAACCCCTCAAGATCCACTAGTATGGTTCCCGACCGTGCTTAATTATGACTTTAACAAGAGTAGGAATAAACAAGCAAAGTTTGCATATAACAAGTTGAAAAATTTTGAAAGAAGAAAGACACAAGTTATTTTAAAAGGAGAAAGCTTAG